GGACAGCGAAGAGAAACTCTCGACTCAAAGACGGGAACGCCTGGCCGAAGTCGAGCGCAACAAGTAGGGGGTTCTGCTCATGCACTGCTGGTTGCAGTAATGCCACACGCGCCATCATGTCGAGCTCCAGAATGTTGGATGCAAGCTGCCGCCCAGCAATGAAGCCCCTCTGTGCAGACGATGTCGTCATTTGAATGATCGGTTCAATGGCGTGGTTGAAAATAGCTGAAATGATCTTCATATCTGTGTTGCGCAGGCCAAGTGTCCTCACCGTATCAGGCGTACGCGAAACTCCCATGCTGTCGTCATCCCCCACTTGTCAACCCTTGGGAAGGAATGCCTGAAGCGTGCCACCCATGTTTGAGAAGAGAAGCTGCCCATCCATCAGCCACATGCAAGCATTCCACAACACGTCGCCGCCCACAGGGTGCGGTGCCCACGCCGAGTACGGAAGTCCATCCGTTCCAGGCGCAGAACATGATGGTGCAAGCCGTCGCAGGACACGACCAAGTAACGAGCGCGTCGGGGGAGGGAGATCATCATATTGACCAGACTGCACAAATCTGTCAGCGCACACCTGCGCGGCACTAGGATATCTAGCAGGCTGTGCAGAAATAAGTGCCCAATATGCCGCGAGTGCGTCCAACTTAGCCAAAGCATCGGTGCGCACACAGCCGCCCACAGTAATGGCCCGGAGCGTAAGTCCTTTGCCAAACGGCGCCCACAAGCGCGCCTTGCGAGTCTTCGCGGCGAGAACCCCAGCAGAAGGCCGAGCCCGTCCTACAGCATGAAGCGCCGCATGCTGAAGCTCCTCAATCTCCTGATCAGCAGCTGCACGTTGGACAGAGTTGACCCACTCCGAGAATGCAGCTGACTGGACCAGCTTCACACAGTGGCCAACAATTTCGATACAACTTCGTGCAGTCTCTGCGGCATTACACACTCGAAGAGCAAGCCGTGCGTCCTGGCGCCAGACAGCCCTAGCAAGCTGTCGAGCAAACATCCGCTGAGCCTCAAGATCCAGGATCGTCAACGAGCAACTGATTAAGCGAGTCAAGAGCAGCTGAATTTACCAACTCCTTATAGCGTTCCATCTGACGCGGCGGCGACATCATGCGAAAGGTGTTCTGTTCATAATCCAGAAGACGCCCAAGTCGTTCAGAGAAGCCGACGGACTTGTAAATGGCGGGGGGTACAGTTTCGACATACTTGCGTTGTCGCCTGTTGGACAGGGAAACTCTGACAGCAGCATGATCAGATACATCGCGATCTGACAGTTCCTCAGGAGTGAAGATGACCGCAACAGAGCGTTGAATTTGACAAGCAACCCACCCAGGTTCAGAGACCCAAACGCGGTCAATCTGCGCCACCGTCTTGGAGTCCCTGCAGAAGTGAGCGGGATCCTCAGAGGCAACTTCGACGAACGATGCCAGCACTGAAAGCCACAGCTCCATATGAATTCTCGCATTGTTGGTGACACGCAGGTCTCGCGCTTGAGTAGGATCCGCAAGGTCCAGGGCCTCATGCGACGAGAAGTTGAAGTCCCCACAAACCACGACCATCCTTGAAGACGGGGACGCTGCAGCCCAGGTACAGTCTTCTTGTGCGCTCTGCGTAACTTGTAGTACATCACCTCGCTCCAGGTCATGGCTGCGAACATTGTAGCGTCGAAGCTCAACATGTCCCTGACAGAGAACCAAGCGCAATACACGCCCAGGAATAAGAGCTATCGGATGAGCAACGACCCCAGCATCCTGCGCGAGAGGGACTACTGTCGCCACACCACCACGACGATGACCGTCCCGTGCTGCTTCAAATGATCCAAAAACTGAAGACGAAGGGGCAATACGCGACATGACGAACTGGAACTCCACCAGGGTTTGGTGCACCTCTTGAATGGCGAAGATGGCATTCGTGATCCCAGCTTGATGAAGGCACGAGGCTTTCGCCATAGCCTGGACACCACGCCACCGTAAGAAGGCCCTGGCATTCCAGGTACAGAACGATATTTGAGCTGACTTCGGCGGCTGCCCACCTTCAACCTTCAATTGAAACAGCGCGTCATAGTTGCTAAAGACTCCACTCGGGCTCGCCATTGGGCGCGATGATGTGATTGATAGCGGCCTTGATCTCATCCCTAGTCCAACCTCTCGTAGCAAGGGCAGCATCGTTCCAATAACATTTAGTCGCTTCTTGTCCTGGCTGTGGCTCGAGCCGAAGAATCGGATTCCAGCTTTCCGAAATCCACCCAGTCTGGCGATCGAAGAACAGCTTGGCGTCGGGATACTTTTCCCGCAAAATTGCCGTGAACTTCTTCCCTGCGATCTCTCTCTTGATCTGGAACGGGTTCTTGTCAGCACCAACGTGAAGTTGCGTCGACCCCCCCGAAGCTGCAGGAACTGGGAAGCGCATCCAGTTGCCTTTGCCAGGAAGACGCAATGCTCCGAGCGCCTAAGCGGCCCGCCGACCTGCGACAGCGACAGGACCTGTGAACTGCAGAGTAAACAAGCGATCTTGCTCTTCTCCTTGACTCTCCCATCCTTCAATCTTCGACTTGTCAAGCCACGCCTTGATGGAGTCGTGGACGTCTGTGCGCTTGACCATCGTAGCTGCCACAATCTTGAGCACCGTCGCATCCACTTCCCTCTGAAATCCGACAGCAGGCGGCTTTGGTGGAGGTAACGATGTGCGAGTGCCAAGGCTTGTCGAAGATCATCCATTTGCTTGCGCACGTCACCAAGCTCATCGTGCATCTTGTCTGTGCGCGAGTCCAAGCTGGTGACTCTGGCAGAGAGGCCGTCAAGCTGCGACTGAAATCTCCGCTCCATCGCTGCCAGCTCTGGACGAAGGGCTGCCTCCACCTTCTGCTGGCATGTGGCTGGCACGCTCTTGACAGCTTCCTCCACAGCGCGGATCGCTGCCATGACGGGGTCGACGGCCTGTGTTGCTGCTGAAGATGTTGTCGATGCGATCATACCTGTGATCTCATTCTTGAATGATAGGAACGTGCTGCGAATGTGGCCGTCGATGAGGCCCTTGATGTGGTCGTCCCAACCGCTGAGGTCCATGTCATGATTCTCTTCCTCATCAGAGCCGCATCTGCTGGAACGAGATCGATCCTCTGCGCGGTCTTCACGAGCCTCTGCGCCGTCGTCATCATGGCGAGCGACACTGCCACGAGAATCGCCAGGGAGCTTCTTCTTCTTTCGCCGCCCACCTGCCACAGTGGGCGCCATGAACCGCGGCCGCGGTGAGCGGGCGCCGGGGCAGCGCGCGATATGGAAACTGGCCGCGGACTAGCGGTATCCATGCCCTGCTTACGCAAAGCAGACATCTTGAGCCAAAATGGCTACGGAGGGAGGAGGAGGAGGAGGAGGAGGAGGAGGAGGAGGAGGAGGAGAAGGAAGGCGAAAAAAAAGGAAAAGGAGGGAGGGAGAAGGAGGAGGAGGAGGAGGAGGAGGAAGGGAGGGAGGCAGGGGGGGGAGGGAATGAGGATGGAGGGAGGGAGGGGACGCATTGGATCGGGGCGCTCTTTTGATGCCACCAGGGCTCCAGGCCGGATGCGCGGCCAAAACTGTACTCCTGGCGGTGGGGCAGCACGGAGACTCAGGGCAGGAGGAGGAAGAGCAACATGAAAGAGGACGAGAAGGAGGAGGAGGAGGAAAAGACTTTAATCTTGGTGTTGCCATTTTTTCGCAACGGCCGATTTTGCTCCGTTCCGGGGGCCCCGGGACCATCACAGACCGATCCGGCTCGGAAAATGCCGCAGGAAGGTTGGGTCCAGGGCTCCCCAGTAAAGTGCCGCAGAAAGGTTGGGTTCAGAGTTCCCCGGTCGTAATTTTGGATGATATGTTCCAATGGGAGGGCCGCAGGACGCGGCATAGAACGACGAAGCATCCGAGAACGCGACGGCGACTATCGAGGAGAAAGAGGAGAAGGAGGAAGGGGACGAGGAAGAGGACGAAAACGAGGACGCTGACCCTAAAAGAGGACGAGGATGAGGGGCGGGAGGATGAGGGGGAAAGGATGAGCAGCAGCAGAGGGGAGGAGCAGCAGTAGGGAGGAAGAGGTGCAGGGGGGATCTCCCAAGATGCCGTGCGCTTCTGGGCGGTAGAAGCGCGACCGCCACGGGACGCAACCATGCCCGATCGCACATGCGCACGAGTCCATGCGACGGCGGGCACTGGCCGACCACAAATCACATGCACAACGCGGCCAATCGGCGGTGCGCCGAGTGTGAAAGTGAGAGCAAGCAGGCCTCCTCAGGAGGCGGCGGGGCCTCTCAGAGGCCCACGCGCCTGCCGAGAGGCCGCGTGTGGCTTCGGAGAAGGCTGACGGCAGGGCTTCTCGGAGGGCGCGGAGGCTTTTGAGAAGCCCCGCCATCTTCTGAGAAGGCCTGCTCCCTCTCACTTCCCCCCCCAGCCAGCGCGCCGACGAGCCACAGCAAAGTCAGTCCCGCTTACTGGACTCGCAACCTGCGAAGAAGTAGTAGATCGCCACACCGATCGGGATGCTCACGAGGTGCCCGAGGACCATCAACAGGAAAAGGTCAAAGGGGTACAGCCAAGCCACGCTGCACACTGCGACGCTGCCAGTGACCTTCAAAACCAACGAAAAAGAACTGCGCGACCGCAAAACGGTGTCCTTCTGGTCGGTCTTCAACATTTTGGAGCTCAGCGTAGGCAGCGTGGACACCATCAAGAAGCCAACAAAAGCCATCACCCCCGCGATTGTCCAGCGCCCCATCGCAGGCACTGAGGGGGAATCTCTATGACAAGCTAGGTTCCCTCGAAAGTTGCCGAGGCATTGCGTGTTGACACCTGTACTGGCACCACACTTGTCATCGCCAGGCACACGCAACAGTAACTGTTGTCAAGACGTGTTCATGCCATCTAAGTATTTCCGAGAAGGGAGGAAGCTCAAGATTGCACAGCAATGCCAAAGACACTCTCGAGCCGATCCTAGTGAATGTGTCCCGAGAAGGTTCGAGAAATTTAGCATCATAGGCACCAAAGCGTATGCTGCAGCCACAGGAGCAGGGATGCCCTGGAAATACAGTTTCCTCTGCAAGACGTTGTGGTACCAAGCCTGACTAACTGGAATGGTGGTCCTCCCGCTGGGAGATCTGCTGAAAAGCTGCTTGTCCATCTCGGCGGCCCTATCGGCGATGTTGAAGCGCGCAAGTCGCACCGCGCAGCAGCAGGTGTACGCGCAGCAAGCCGCCCACAGCAGCGCATGCTCAAATGAACAAGGATGCGCAGAAGAAAATAAAACAGCATAAGCAGAAATTTTAGAAGCTCAGCGCGGATTTCTTGGATCTGCGCTTGGCCCGCCTCCCCGGCGCGCAGAGCGCGCCAAGGGCAGTGCCAGAGTCGCCGCGAGGGTAACCCTGTGCAGATTCCAAGAAATCCGCGCGGATCTCCGAAAGTTTGTGTTTACGCCACCTTTTCTTCGTCCAATGAGAGGAGCAGGCCTCTTGAGGCAACCTGATCGCCCAGAAATACGCCACGAGCGCCGGCACAACGCCGAAATTCGCGAGGTCGCAGAGCGAGTCCAGCTCCGCGCCCATCTCGCTGACGGCCCCCAGGAACCTTCTGTTGCATCTTCGGGGGACATTGTCTGTGCCGTCGCGACGCTATCCGCGTCAAGTCCAGTGACGAATACATGTCGGCCTCGTCGAATCCGCGTCGAATCGACGACGGAACTGCGTCGAATCTACGTCAGCTCCGCGTCGAATCCGCATCGAAACCGCGTCGGACACAAGCCCCGAAGATGCAACGTAAGGAACCGCGCCGTGTGGCCGTCCAGGCCGTCCAGGACCCCCGCCAGCATGACGCACTTGACGGCACCAGTGAACACGCCCTCCTGTGGTTGTTCTCGCTCGACTTTCTACTGCTCCTCCTCCTCCTCCTCCTTCTTCTCATAATCATCATCATCATCATCATCATCATCATCATCATCATCATCATCATCATCATCATCATCATCATCATCATCATCATCATCATCCATCTTGTCTCACTCCGAGACGTGTTGGTAGGGCAGACCGGGCGTTTCGCCTGAGACTCTTGCACCACGTATAACCCTGAAGCTGAAAATGTGCAACGGCTCCACGGATGGATGGCGAGCTGTTTTCATAACGTGGCTCTCGCATTCGCGCCGCGCACTTTCGTCTTGAAAATATGCGAGAGCTTCACGGATTGAGGGCGGGTGGTTTTCAAAATGTGGCTCTCTCCTTATCGCCGCACACGTTCGTCTTAAAATGTTGCAGGAGCGTCACGGGTGTAGGGCGGATCGTTCTCAAAACGTTGCTCTCGCATTGCGCCGCGCACTTTCGCCTAGAAGTATGCAACAGCTTCAGGGATGGAAGGCGGGTGGTTTTCAAAGTGTGGCTTTCGCCTTAGCACCGCGCACATCTGTCAGGAAAAAACACAACAGCTTAATGGATGGAGGGCGGCTCCTTTTCAAAATGTGGCTCTCGCCTGAGCGCAGCGCACATTCGTCTTACAAGCTCACAGTAACTTCATGGATGGAGGGCGGCTCCTGTTCAAAATGTGGCTCTCGCCTGAACACCGCGCACATTCGTCTGAAAAGTTGATTGCTAGTTGAAGAGTTCTTACGGTTGCCATCCCAGGAATGGTGTCCTCCCATACGAGTTAGGACTGTCAGGGCGCAACAGTCCCGTTGATCGGCGGTGTTGAAGTCCCAGGAGTTGTCTTCTGGCACGACTCAGGATCGCCAGGACGCAACATTCACGTTCATTCGCGGCAGTGAAGTGCCAGGAATGCACGATTGAGGATTCCCAGACGGTTGTCTTCCAACGGGGCACATCCTGCAGTGCACAGACATTCCCTGGGGGCTTATGCAGAGGGGCAGAGGGAACTTGGAGGGAGGGCTCATTGCAACATCGCTGTTGCGTCTTGAGTGTGCGCTGATTATCCTCCTCCTTCTCCTCTTCCCCCTCCTCCTAATCCTGGGCTCGGGGCCATCCCTGGACCCAAGGGTTCGTACAGTACGGCTCAGGTCATGGGCCGGCAAGCTCAGGCGTTGCGCTTTGCTGGGGGGCGCGCCCGCGCCCCCGAGGGCGTGGAGCTCCCTCATCCCAGGGGCAGGATAGGGAGGAAGGGGCGTGAGAGCCCCAGGGGGAGCGGGAGGGGGAGATCAGGTGCGCGAGGAGATGCAGTGAACACATCCGAAGAGAAGTCCACGTGCGAGAAAATCTTGGGGCACATTCTTCGTCGGTATTTGGTGGTCCTAAGGTGCCCCAGGACTTCTGTGGGCCCATGGTACAGTCGGGGCCTTGACCTAAGGAACCCTAAATAAGGAACGAGGCCTCTATTTTCCATAAGTTAAACTTCGAATTCGTATCGAAAACCTAAGGCAAATCTAAGGCAAGCTGCGAAACAATTAAGGAACACGGAGCCCCTCCCCAACGAAAAGGGTTCCTTACTCAAGCCGCTCACTGTACCATCGTTTGATCAGAAATTTCCGTGGGGCACCTGCCGGCAGGCCGATTTTTCTTGTTTGATGCGCCTACTGGAGAAAAAAGAAAGAGAGAGAGAGAGAGAGGGCGGAGGTGGGCTTCTCCCGAAGACGCCGACAACCCCCCACGGTGACCCTTACCCCACCCCAGAGGTACAGTTGACGCTTCCTCCTCCTCCTGGCTGGCTGCCTCTCCTTCCGGTCGTCCTCGTCATGGTTGTCCTCCTCCTCCTCCTCCTCCTCCTCCATCCCCTTCCCTCTGTTAAGGAAAAACACCACTGTCGCACACCCAGACGTAGTGGTAGGGGGGCCGGGCGTTTCCCCCTTGAGACGTCCTCACCACTTAATCCTGAAACATAATTCTGCAACAATGGGGCTCTCGCTTTGCGCCGCGCGCATTCGTCTCAAACCATTGCAGCTGCTTGAAAGATGGAGCGCGGCTCATTTTTCAAGTGTGGCTCTCACCTTAGTGGCGCGCACATCCGCTTAACTTTCGCAGCAGTTCCAAGGATTCGTAAGGCTGCAGTCCCAGGAATGGAGCTCTGACAGACACGGTGGTCCGCGGTGTTGAAGTCCCAGGAATGGTTTCCGCCACGGCTCAAGATCGTCAGGACGCAACAGTTACACTGATTCGCGGCGTTGAAGTCCTAGCAATTGTGCTTTGGTGTAATGAAAACACATTATTGTAGGGACCTGCTTATAAAGAAGAAACTTGGAGGGAGGGTTCATTGCAACTTTGAGGAAGGAACCTGTAGCGCATGGGGTTACGCTGGTCCTCCTCCTCATCCTCCTCCTCATCATCCTCCTCCTTCTCCTCATCCTTCTCCTCCTTCGATCCTCATCCTCCTCCTGTTCCTCCTCCTCCTCCTCAGGCTGGGGGACGTCAACTTTCCAGCTCACCGATCCCTCTGGAGGACCGAGATGGGTACGGAAAGATCGGGGACGAAGACAAGCAGCCATCCTGGTCCGCTTTGAACCGGACTCGCTGGCAGCGTCGCCGCGGGCGTTGTCGATTTGAGACGTAGAGTCACATGCTCAACAACGGCCATCCGGTGGGCATCCTACCCGTTTCATCCGTACATATTTCGGCTGTGCAAGTCCTGCTGTCGAGGAGGGGTTCCCCAGACGTCTGGGCGTCGCGGGAAACAAAAATGATGTCTGTTTGAATCCCCGGGGCCCTCATCGCCACGGCTGGACTCGCCTCGGAGCCCAGGCCACAGCGCACCCCAAGAGAGGTCGGGGGCACAGCGGCACAGCCAACATGCTTAAGGAAGGACCATTTGGGGTCGGGTTCTAGTTCTTTGACCGTTCCTTGGGTTTGGGTCGGAGGCAGCCCATTCCTGGCCAAGGATCGCCGTAGAGAAGCCCCATCGTTCCTTGCTCAGCGCTCCTCATGGTTGCGCGGTAGCTGTGCCGTTCTTTGGTTGACCCCCTCTCCCAAACATTTTCGCCCCGATTCTGGTGTCTGGAAGCGCGGTCCACAGCGACAGGCGTGTCCCTGGGACGGGGTCAGGAGCTCCAAGGCCAACGCCTAGACAAGAGCTCAGCGTCGGAAGCCCTGGGAGGGCGTTAACCACCTGCGCCATCGGCCAATACGTTTAAGCGACGGAAGAAAACGGGGTCGGCTGCGCCGACATTCGCATGTAAGCTTCCCGCGAAAGGCCGCGCGTAAGCGCTTCCTTCTCCACGCGGTGTGCCGCAGTGGCGGCCCGCGTAAGTCGCGGGCTAAGGTCGCAATGCCTTCTCGCGTAAGACCCGTTTACTTTCGTCGCTCATTCGGACCCATCGGTCACGAGTTGGGCTCGCAGCAGCGCGGCACGCGCTGCGTGCCGTCGCCCGTCGGCGTGTCAGAGAGTGTGCGTGAGGACGTCGTGGTGCTCCGCTTCCCTTCCACCGCGACGGAGGTGGATGTCGGCAGGGGAGGCGTGGGAGGAGGAGGGAAGACCCAGACCCAGACCCCCTCGAGTCATGAAAAAATCACGACGGACGGTTTTTCTCTATTTTCGGCCTATGGGTGCCCTTACCGGGCCTCAGGAACGTCTCAAAACGACTCGGGATGAAAAACCCGTCCCGGGGAATGGGTCGAGACCTCTGGGGGTCGACGTTATGAAAAAATCATCGTCGGCACGACGGATGTTGCAAACGACAACCGTTCGAAAGTCCAATCGTGTTCGCCGACGGAGCACCCATCTGCAAGGATCCTGGCCAGGCCAATCCTAGGCCCCGGACCGGCGTGGCAAAGAGCGGCGTTCGCCATGGAGGAAGGGGTCCCGAGGGAAACGGGTCCTGGACCCTGGGGCTCTGTCTCGAGGACGAATTCTTCATCCTGGTCCGTCTTGCGGCTGTCCTGAGGGGCCCCAGGGGCCAGAAAAAGGGGGAAAACCTCCAAGACCCCCTCCTCCAGGACTCGCGTCCTTTATGCCGAGGAAGTTGACCCTGCACATTCCCCCCACCGCTTGCGCCACTGAGGCCACGGAGTCCCGCGCGGAGCGCGCTGACCATGACCAAGACTGCAAGCAGAAACGTCGTGCCGATCTTGGCCAGCATCAATTCATGGCCTGGCGACGGCCGACATGGACCATGACCAAGATCGGCGTCGACAAGATCTCGCGACATCTCTGTCAAGGCCAGCGCGTTTCTTCCCTCGAACCCAAACATCCCAACGTCGCGCTTTTGTTCACAGCGTATCCCCCTAGAGGCTTGGACCACTCCCCACCCGGAGATCCGACGTCGGGGGAAAAACTGGACATCGCCAGAGATGACGGCCGGAGCCCTGGACCCACATTTTCTGCAACATTTTTCGGGCCGAATCCATCTGTGATGGGTGATGGTCCTGGGGCCCGAAACTGGGCAAAAACGCCCGGTGTGAAAAAATCGCGGCGCCCAGATCTCAGAAGGGACCTTCGACGTTCAATCGCGGCGGTGTTCCTTCGTGTCCGCCTCTGGGGGGCGCTTTCGGGCCCCGGGGTCGAAAATCAGCCTGGGACGAAAAGCTACACCCAGCAGAAAGATCGGGAGCCCTGGAGCCGCGGATTGAAAGAATCATACCGGAGGAGGCATTGGTTCCCTGGGGATTTCCGTTCCCAGACCCCCTCGCGTCATGAAAAAATCAAGACGACAAGTTTCTCATTAACTTCGGCCTCCCGGGGCCCTCACCAGGGCCCGGGACTGTCAAAAAACGACTCGGGATGAAAAGCCAGTCCCCGGGAAAGGGTCCCGAGCCGTCTCTTGACGGTCCCAGGGCCCGGTGATGGCTCCCGAGGGCGTAGAATTGCAAATAAAAACGGCCGTCGTGCTTTTATCCGCGGCGCGAGGATGTCAAGGCACTTTCTGGCGCCGCGGTCGTGCGCGCGGCGACACGGCGGAGTCAGGCAGTCCGGAGCGGGAGCGCGCAGGACCCTCACGCAGCCACCAGGCGGGGCGCAGGGTTCACCCAGAGGGGGCCACACTGCGTGGGGACCCACGAGGGGGCACCCGCGAGAGGTGGCGAGCGGGGACGGACGACAAGCGACAGGCTGCCAGGACCAGGAGGAGGCAACAGCGGCGAGGCCAGAGCCGAACGAGTGAGGGGCGCAGCCCATAAGGATAGAGAGCAGGGCAGCTGAGGGCAGAATGCGCCAGGCAAGCACACACGCACACGCACACGCACCCGCACCCGCACACGCACACAAACGCACACACACGCACACATACACAAACACACACACACACACACACACACGCACGCACGCACGCACGCACGCACGCACGCACGCACGCACGCACGCACGCACGCACGCACACACACACACACACACACACACACACACACACACACACACACACACACACACACACACGCACGCACGCACGCACGCACGCACGCACGCACGCACGCACGCACGCACGCACGCACACACACTTACTTTTGGCGTTGCGGCCTCGCGCGCAGCGTCGAGGCAAAGAAAATAGGAGGGAGAGAGAGAGAGAGGCGAAAGACGCGACACCAACACACACTAGTTTGATCGGCGGCGCAGAGGGCCTCAGGCGCGGTCGGCTCTCCGTCGGCGGCCGTGTGCGCACCACCACGGCGGTCACAGCAGGTGCCGACCAAGACATCCAGCGCCCTGTTGATTTCAATACGAAGCCCCCGAAGACCCGACCCTTTCCCTGGCGCCCGTGCTTCGTCCCAGATCGTTGTCTGACGGTCCCTTGGACCAGCGAGGGCCCTCAGAGGCCGAAAACGGCGGAAAACCGACGTCTCTTGTTTTCAATACGTTAGAAGTCTGGACAACACACACACGCACACACTTGTCGCGTCGTAGCCACGCGCGCTGTTGCGCGGCGTAGACCAAGCCAAGCGCGCGCACTGGCCCGGCTCACGCAGCAGGGAGAAGCCGAATCCGCCCATAGGGCATCGACAGCGACACTCACGCAAGGGCAGACGAGGGAAAAAGGGGAAAAGAGGGGGAAGACGAAGCAGCGCGACGGTGCCAAGACGAAGCAGCAAGCGAGGCGCAGCCGAGAGACGACAACGGCAGCCACCCAAAAAGGAGGACCAATCCGGCGCGGGAACCGGGGTCCACCAGCAGGCCAAAGGGGAAACAACGCCTGGGCAGGCGGCCCGAGGGCAAAAAGGGGTAAGGCAGTGGCGCCCAGATGCACGCACACACACACACACACACACACACACACACACACACACACACACACACACACACACACACACACACACACGCATTAAGTCGTCGCAGGCTGGGCCTGGCCGCGAGCCGCTCGGAAGTCCCGCAGGTGCGCGCGCGCGCTGGCAAAGAAGCAAAAAGGCAGCAACTCGCACGATGCAGCAGAGGCCTAAGCTGGCTTACCAGGACGACAGGGGGCCCGCAAGACAAGGGCAAAGGGGCTTAAGCAGGGCGGAGAGGGGAGCGAGGAGCGAGGAGCGACGGCAAAACGCCGAGGGAGACAGACGGACGGACGCGAGGGACCACGGGCCGACCGACGGAGGACACACGCGCACACGCGCGCGCGCGCCGGGCGGCTCCTGCGCGAAGCGCACGGCGCTGAGCCCGGAGACCAGCGCCCCGAGCGTCAGCAGCGAGGGGGCGCAGCGCCGCAGCTGGCCGGCGGCGCGCCGGAGGGGGTCTTGCTGGCTCTTGCGGCTCGGGGCGCAACAACGCGGATCGACGCTTGACGACGCCAATCGATGCCACATCAATGCTGCATCGGCGCTGCTCGGCGTCTTCTCATCGATGGCCATACGCTGGCGCACGTCGATGCACCCGAAAGAAGAAATATCTCGAGGACGTACGCAGCTCCCACGAGTTGCCACCGAACGCCCCCACTGGCATGGTCTTGGCCACGCTGACCGATCTACCCCCCCTCGATGGGGCACCCAAGAGGCCCAAGAGGCGCCGCATCGCGAGCTGCCAGGCCAGAGGTGCACGGTCTGACTTGGCACTGGCGGATGGCAAAACGTGCGTGAGGGTGGCCCATGAGCATTTTTTCTTTTGCCCGTTAGGAGTTCTCTGGTGGCTCACGGGCCCCCTGGGCCACGGACGGTGAGCGATCCACACGCTTCCCGCGGCAGCTGGCCCATGCCAGAAGCCGACCGGCGGAGGAGGCCACGAAAAGGCGCGAGGCGGCGGCTATCAGATTAAAGAAGTGCTGCGGCGAAACCTGTGGATTGCCCTACAGGGTCAACCCGAACCTGAGATGAAGAAAGGGCCAACATCGGCCCATGAGCATCTTTTCAACCGCGAACGCGTTCCAATCCCGAGATCAAGTTGTGCCAGCATCGACTTGTATGTTGTTTTTTTGCGCTTTATACCTCCAAGGCTCCGGCAAACCAGCTTCCACCAACACATTGGCCCTCACCGTGCCCGTAAGGTGGACCCCGAGGCCCTGCCAGCAGCGCAGGAAGATCAAGGAGCAGGCAAATTAATGTACACAGTTTTGACTCCAGCCGCTCCGCCGAAGGCAAATTTAAGTACACAGTTTTGACTCCGGCCGCTCCGCCGACAGAACAAGGAGCAGGCAAACTGATGTACACAGTTTTGACTCCGGCCGCTCCGCCGACGTCCACTGTTGAGCCGCCGGTGGACAGACGTAAAGTACTTGTTCGCCAGAGGACCACAGGATCACGGAGGAGAGGAAGGAGGAGGAGGGAGGAACGAGGAGGGGGGGGACTGAACTGAGCCCTTCGGATCATCGCCATCTGACTCCTGTGAGTCTGGGCGCCCCAGTGACCCAACTAGGCGAGCTCTCAGGTAGTCGCGCTCGTTGGCGACTCAGTGCAAATTTGTACCGATGAATACTGGACATCAAGCTCCATGAATTACCACGAAAACTTAAAACCAGGTGACTACCATACGAGCATGTGCACACATGCACCTGCCAGCAATGCCACACAGGGCCGAAAATGGCGCGGGAGCCATACTAAGTAATGTAACCGTAAAAGCGGAGGAAGAAGAGGAGAAGAGAGAGGCTAGCTTTGGAGCGGACGCTTCAGCGAACGCTGCACGATGCCAGCGGCGCACTGGTTTCCACGCGCCGCTTCCAAAGCGAAGCCACGAAAAGCTTCGGGCCCCGCTGAGCGCTCGAGGCCTGCACGAACAGAGCCGTGCGTGCGCATGAGCGCATAAACTGCGCAAGCCCTCAGCGCGGCCCGCTCGTCAGGAGCCATGCGGCGGTTCACAGTCTTGGCAAGGATGAAGCCGACGAACTCCGCCAAGGCGTTCTCTGGGGTCGGCTGGCATAAACCGAAACGTTGCCGGGAGAGGCGGTGGAAGCACGGGCACCGCGAATAGTGTTCAATACTGTCCGCCCCGCCGCAGTCCAGGCAGCAACGCCCGTTTCCCTGAAAGCGGCGGCTGGTGACCCATTGAAAGCAGTCGGGGCTCTCGCTGCAAGGGCCCTCGGAACCACTAGCGTGGAAAGATTCCCAGCGAGGCGAAGCCAAGCGTCAACCCGGCGGCCAGGCAACATAGGCACCTGCCATCGATCGAGCCGCCTCCGGATATGAACGAACGCAACCCGTTCATGGGATACCCTGATCTGCTTGGCAATCGCCGCTTGACACCCTTCGCGCTGATGCTCGCGGTGTCCTGGATGAAGGAGAGGGCTGTCCGTGCCGATCCTCATCTGCACCGCCGAATGGGCGGAATCCAGATTCAAGACGAAGGCGTTGCGAGCCCAGTGGCCATAGAGCATATGCTTCTGCACGCTGTCCGCCTGGGAGAGCAGGCTGTTCAGGTATAGCGCCCGAGAGCGGACATTCAGCCCTCCGCTTTGGCTGGCCTCGTGCATCATCGCCCGTACTTTCGCTGCAGTCGCAGCGGCGTCAATATCCATCAATCCATATGGCATTCCAGTTAACTGCATCGCCTTCGCAGTCGGGGGGTCGATCCACAGATAAGGGCCTGGAAATAACGCACGGATAACCGCGGACTCGCTGTCGGAGAAATCCGGCGACAACGCGTCAAGCTGCGCGCAGAACATGATGACACCTTGTAGGCTTCCATGGAATGAAGGGACCCCGCGCCCATCTTACTCCAGATCGCGGCCCGCTCCAAATATTTGTTCATGATGGTATCCCATGTCCTGGTCCCTCGGCCGGGCCCCACATAGAATCCAAGATACTTCGCGCAGTCTGCAATCCCGATGGCGCCCCACAGCGGCGCTCGCGCGACCACTCTCTGCCGCACGCCCACGTGGTCCATGGGGAAGAGCGGGACAAATATCGTCTTCTGAACATTCAGCCGCAACCCCGAGATCTCCGAGAAGTCCACGAAGATGGCCTCGACCACTGGCAGATGGTCCCAAATATGATGATGGACAAGGGCAGTGTCGTCGGCGTACGCACGCACGACTCCGCCAGGGACAAGCCTCAGAATTCGTCGAAGGAGCACGTCCGAAGCGACTGCAAACAACAAAGGTGACAACGGGCAGCCTTGACGTACACCGCGTGTGATCGCGAAGCCATCGTGCCGCATCCCGCCCATGACGATGACGCAGATGTTGAACTCGTAAAGAACAGAGACAACGTTGAGCAGCCATCGGGGCCAGCCCAGTTTTTCGAACACCCTCATCATGAAGTCCTGCTCCACCGACGGGAACGCCGCGGCGAAGTCGAAGAACAGCGCCGCGGCATCGTCCGACTCGAAGGCCCCTGATATCATAGCACAATCCACATCCAAAAGGTTGGAGATCATTGACCGCCCTCCAACGAACCCCCGTTGCACCTCCGTGATCCTGGGGCCGACGACGGGTTCGATCAGGCCCCGGATGGCGCTGGCGATGAGGCGATTGTCTGAATTGGTGACGTTCAGGGGACGGACATTGGCTGCTTCGAAGATGCTCTCTCCATTGGCTGCTGTGCCACTCGGCTTCTTTGGGAGGAAGAACAAGAGGCTGCGGTTGAAGTCCTTCAGCTGCTCCTCGCCGATGCCGCCCACTCCGACCTCCCCCATCCAGCGCGTGGAGTCTAGCAGGATCTGGGCCGAGAATTTGGCACACCGGCGCCACGCAAGGAAGGGAATACCATCTGGCCCAGGCGCAGAGTTGTTCGAGTTGCGGATGGCCGTTAAGAAATGGACCCACTTCAAGCGCAATGCTGGGAGGGACAAGTCCGTCGACGGCCGGTGTTGAACGTCGTCCCGCAGCCAATCCTCCAGGAGAGCCCGGTTGACACCCGTCTTCTGGAATACCTCGCTCCAGTGGTCGCGCAACGCAGTGGCCATGCCCTGGGAGTCGACCACCACTTCACCGCTGGGCTTCTGGACTGCCCCGATGCCTCCAGCTCTGCCGGGAGCCAGTCGGAATATCAGCCTCGTGTTTCTCTGTCTTGCCCGTGATGCCTTGAACTCATCGGTGCCTTGCAACACCTCGCGGGATTTGGTCAGCTCGTCCAGAGCGTGCTGCCTGGCCAAGTCCGCGGCAAAGTTCCGGAGGTCCTCCAGCTTCCGGGTCAGGTTGCCCTCTATGGCGTAGGGGTTCCTGACGTAGTCCTTCAGCTCTGGGCAAGCCTGAATACAGTCTGAGATGGCGGACAGCTTGCCCTGCTCAATGGCGCGGATCAGCTTCAAGGCAACGCCCAATCTGTCCTCCATGTCTAAGGTCGATGGGGCGATGTTCGAGGATTGCTCAAGCCTGCGCGCCACTGTCCAGATGGCCCGCTTGTACAAGCTCAACCTGTCCATGACGTTGGCCGCCGGATTATCCTTCAGCAGCTGAACATATTCAAGAATGAGCCGCCTGGGAAGGTCTCGATGCTGGAGAGCACGCAGAGCTAGTGGACGGTCTTCCTCGCGTTCATGGCGAGGCAGCCGCCGGGCAGCGAACACGGCCCTATGGTGCGAGAGGTCGTATGTTGTGGGAGGAAGGGTGGGAATAGGCGGGGCCCCGTGACTCGCCCGAGGAGTGGGAGTACGAGAGTGGGAGTAGGGGCGTGGCCCGTGAGCATCGCTTCACCTATCCCAACCCTCACTGGCATGGCCTTGGCCCCACTGACCGATTAACCCCCCTAGATGGGGATAGGAGGACCCCCAAAAGGCCCCCAAGACGGCCCCACGAGAGGCCCAAGAGCGCAATTCGAACTGACCCTTCGGGCTTCCACCCAAAGACGACCCCCAAAGCGTCCAAGAGGCTCCCGAGGCGCCCTATGACCCGCTGACCGATTTACCCCCCTGGATGGCTATTCCCGTCAGGCTTCGCCGGGCCTATCCCAACCTTGGGGGGGAGGGCTTTCGGGGCTGAGATGCCATGGCCCCGCGGGGACGGGGAACGGTCGAACGATGCCGGGCCCAGACCGTTGGAATCCCAGACATGCTCGCGAGGTGGGAAAAAAACGATGGACAATTCTCAACGTTTTCGGCCTCTGCGGGGCCCTCGCTGGGCCCCAGGACCTTCAAAAAAAAAGACTCGGGATGAAAAACTGGCCCTGGGAAAGGGCCGGACTTCCGGGGGGACGCATAAAAAAACAAACTAATATCGGATCTCTGGGATCGCAAGTTGCCTGGCTGGTTCTCTGCGCTGGGCAAGCTCCTCAAACTGACCGCCGGCAGCCCCCGGCCCATCTTCACATCGAGCCCCAGGATTCTCGAAGGCGCCACGAGCCCAGGCATCCAACGCCGTCTCTTTCCGCAACATGGCCCCCCAAAGGTCTGGACCTCTTCCTGGGAACCGACTTCTCGTACCGAGCTGCTGTTGGCAAATCCTAGGGCCCTCCCGAAGGCCGAGAGATGACAGCCAAAACTGCCGGTGTTCACCACTCGGGGATGTCGGGGAGGACGGAGGTACCTCGGCATCTTCAGCCCTCGGGGGGCGTCCAGGAGGGGGGCGATCCAAGAGAAGGGCTCGCAGAGCGTGGCTACAAGGCACGAGCGCGGACGACAGGGGGGTGCCGGGGGACGCATTTCGTGGCCCCGGCCATGCGATCCATCCCCCCTACTTGGGCCACCACGAGGGTTGCAAAGGGAACAAGATACTCCAGCTTTCGTAATAAAGGGAGGGGGGTCTCATTTCGGGGGGGAGGGTCTCTTCCAGGCTATCTTGGAGGGCCTGGGGGGTCTGGGGACGATGTTTTGGAGGGTTCTCCCACGGGGGGAGGTCGGAAATGGCTTGTCTTGGAGGGTCCAGGCCCCCTCCCTTTTATTACGAAATCTGGAGTATGGGGCCTCTACCCGGATGCCGAGCTGGAGGAAATCTTGCCCAATCTAGCTTGCGAGCGGGCTGCAAGTGCCCTAAGCGGCTTAGGGGGGCAACGATCCTGGCTCGGCGGGCGGAGACCTCTGAGCGGAGTTACCTGACCCCTTAACCCTACTTAGGGCATGTGCAACCCAGTTATGAGCTTGGGTAGGCCATATGCAACCCACATCAGCATCCCGACGTAGCCCCGCTATTCCCTTGCAACCCCCGCGGTGATCCAACAGGCGGGCCCAGGAGGAGGGGGACGATGCAGCAGCTGACCCTGGGACTTGTCGAAGCATTGATCGGGGTGAGAAAGTGGGTCCACGCGAAGGGGTCGAGAGACCCGGGGACCCCGAACTGCAAACAGCATAAGCACACACAAACAAACAAACAAACAAACAAACAAACAAACACAATACACAACACAACAACCACGACAACAACAATCATGTTACCCTCATGCGCGATGTTCCCACACGAAGCATGCGACCATCATGATGACCATGCCCATCATGGGGGACTCTCGTTTTATAGCGGGGTCCGTTATTCCCATTCCCAGATCTCCCGCCCAATGAGGTCTTGCAAACACCTCATCCGAGAAAATTCAACATATCCCGCCTCGAAAACACATGCCCGCGCCTTGCTGCGCCGATGCGAGACCGCCAGTAGAGCCCCAGCCAAGGGTAAAGCACAAGGAAGTATCGAGCGACAGGATTGTTTTGGTGGGGATGGGAACTGTCGGCGGCGAGGCAAGGACCTGGTCCTGAATAGAAAGGAAGTCTCGAGCAGGGCCGCTGTTGTTGCTGGGGCGCCAATGCTGAAGAAAGCAGGGCGCTGGTCCAGCGTAAAACGGGAGGACGTCTCGGGCGGGGGCGCTGGTTTTGTCAGGGCGGCGGCTATCGGCGGCGAGGACGAGCACCGCCTTGAGTTAAAAAGGAAGGAAGCCTCGAGCGGGAGCCTCGGTTTTATCGGGAAGAGGGCTGTCGGCGGCGAGGAGCCGCACCGTTCTGATGAAAACGAGAGGAAGCCTCGAGCGGGAGCGTTGTTCTTGCTAGGAGCGGCGCCAATTCAAAAGAAAGTAGGGCGCCAGTCCAAGATAAAACGGGAGGAAGTCTGCGGCGGGAGCATTGGTTTTGTCGGGACGGCGGCTTCCGGCGGCGAAGAGGAGCACCACCTTGAATAAAAAAGGGAGGAAATCTCGAGCGGGAGCGTTGTTGTTGCTGGGGGCGGCGCCGATGAGAGAAAGAGTAGCGCGCAAGTTTAAGGTAAAACGGGAGGACGTCTCGAGCGGGTGCGCTGTTTTTGGGGACGGCGGCTTTCGGCGACGAGCGAGAGCACCGGCCTTGAGTAAAAAGGAGGAAGTCTCGAGCGGGAGCGTTGTTGTTGTTGTTGTTGAACTCTAATTACTGAAAAATAATTATTGTTGATCCCCCCACCGGCGGACATTGTATTTTTCAATTGAAGTGCCCCTTCCGGGGCTCGCACCTTGTTTTTTATAAAGGAAAATCGTGGGCATCAAACTGCGTTGTTGGCCCCCCGGACAACAACAACAACAACAACAACTGCTCCCGCCTGATACTTCCTCCAAATTTACTCAGGACCCCCGCCCCCGCCTGGGACTTCCTCGCAGTGTACTCAGGCGGAGGCGCTCCCGCCTGAGACTTCCTTGCAAATTACTCCGGGAGCGGCGCTCCCGCCTGGGACCTCCTTTACAACTGAGCATCAAACTGTGTTGTTGGCCCCCCGGACTACAACAACAACGGCTCCCGCCTGATACTTCCTCCACATTTGCTCAGGACCCCCGCCCCCGCCAGGGACTTCCTCGCAGTGTACTCAGGCGGAGGCGCTCCCGC